AGTTTCTTTTGGCTTTCGTGGGGGGTCCAGATTGTAACTTAAGAGTCTAAGGGCAATTGTCAATCAGTTCCACCAATTGGAGTCGCCTGACTTGAAGAATGCCCCCTTAAAGAACGTTCAGATTCTTGGCAGCCTCTTCTCAAGGGCTGAATTCAAAATATCCACCGTGGAGCTGTGAGAGTTAGTGAAGCCCCAGGGGACCACATCTGAGCTAAAGATAAGGGTGTATTAGCAGAACAGGAGGAGGCAGGAGGAAGACTAAACAGCAAACCGAAGGAGGCATTTTTGGATGTAGTTGCAGCCAGTTGTTCCTAAGGAGTATCTATCATATTGAAGCAATTTTACCTCCCATGAGGACATTCATTTACCCATGGTTACAAGCTGACCGAATTCAGCTGTGTCCTCACATTCCATCTACATCTAGATATCTGGAACCCTATGGGGGTTAAGTCAACTTCCCCTTGCCTATCTGGTAGCAAAGGGGACTGGAGAACTTGGTCTTTGTTCTGGACACTCACTGCATTGTTGGCACCTGGGCAGGGAACATGCACCATTTGAGACTGCTTAACTGCCTTCTGTCTGGGGGGCTGACCTTAAGTCAAGAGAGTTAACATCTCCTTAGTCACCAATCTGATCACAGGGGATGGCCGGTTCAGGCTTTCCTTGGAGACGCATGGACGTTTCCCTTGCATCAGGCTTCTACCTGACTCTGTAAAGCCCCCCTTTCCTGTCATCTCTCTCAGCACTGTCCTCCTCTGTCCACCCCACCAATGTGATCCCTCAAGTTGGGCCCCAAGTCTAACCAGGATATCTCCTCTCTTTCCCCTCCCCAGGGAGATTCATGTGTTCCACCTTGGGTCCTTCCTTGTTACCTAGCTTCTCCGGGTCTGTGGATTGTAGCATGATTATCCTTTATTTTATACCGAATTATTAGACCTAATATCCACTTCTGTGTGAGTCCATACCATGTTTGTCTTTCTGGGTCTGGGTTACCTCACTCAGGATTTTTTTTTATAGTTCATTCATCTGCCTTCAAATTTCCTGATGTCTTTGTTTCTAACAGCTGAGTAATTCTCCATTGTGTAAATGTACCACATTTTCTTTATCCATTCTTCGGTTGAGGTGGCATCTAGGCTGTTTCCAGGTTCTGGCTATGACAAATAAAGCTGCTGTGAACATAGTTGAGCAAGTGTCCTTGTAGTATGATTGAGTATCCTTTGGGTATATGCCCAAGAGTATTGCTGAGACTTGAGGTAGATTAATTTCCAATTTTCTGAGAAACAGCCATATTGATTTCCAAAACTGGCTGTACGAGTTTGTGTTTCCCTTCCTCCACATCCTCTCGGCACGAGCTGTCATTTGTGTTTTTCATCCTAGCCATTCCGACAGGTGTAAGATGTAATTTTAGTTGTTTTAATTTGTATTTTCCTGTTGTCGAAGGATGATGAACGTTTCTTTTTCTTTTTTCTTTTTAATTAGGCAAAGAATTTTATTAACCCTTTTCCAAACTTTATTCCCAGGCTTCTTCAGCTTAATTTGCTGCAAAGAATGAATTGTGTTTTAAGCAAAAACTGAAAAGAGCTGCAGTGTCCAAGGGGCTTGGGCTTAAAAATATTAGCGATCTAGATTTGATCAGATCCGTAAACAAAAGACCTTTAAAAAGCAGCTATGATATAAAATAGCAGCTCCTGTAACTACTGCAAGTGTTACTTCTTCAGACGTCGCCTCCTTTCAGTTTGCCTCGTTCTTAGAAGCCTTATCAAAATTCTCCACCAGATCTGGGACTTCATCATCATCATCATCCTCTCCAGTAGCAAGGGGTGCTTTTCCATCCACAGATTGTTCGGGCAGAGCTTCAGCCAGTCTCCGTAAACTAGACAGACTGTCTGCCCCAAGCTGGTTTAAAATGCTGGGAAGCATTTCTCTCAGTTGCTTTGTAATGGCCTGTAATGGTGAAGGTATTTGCTGCCAGAGACGCCTGGACTTTAGGGTTGTTAAAATGGATCACTGTTCCTTGGTTTGTAAACATGTTCACCTCTTCAGTACCAGAGATATTGTTCACCCCTAGCTTCTTTAAGGAGAACTGCAGTTTTTGATCACCTGCTGTGGCTGTTCTGTGAACCACCTTCTTTTTTCTGCGAGCAGTTCCTTTCCCACCAATGCGCGCTTGGCCAGTTTTTCCTGGTTTATGACTGTTTCTTTCATCTTGTCGGAATGGAAATGGGGCCACGCTGGGGACTAGGGTTTGCACTTAGGGGGTCTCGGGCGGACCAGCTGAGATAAGGCACGCGCACGCGCGCGCGCACACACACACACACACACACACACACACACACACACACACACGGGAACGCAAGATGGCAGCTAGAGTTGAACATTTTTTAAGTGATTCTCTGCCATTTGAAATGTTCTGTTCAGAATTCTCTGTTTAGGTCAGTGCCCCATTTTTTAATTGGATGACTTAGTTCTTTGATGTCTAGTTTCTTGAGTTCTTTATCTATTTTAAAGACCAACTTTTTGTCAGATGTGGAGTTGGTGAAGTTCTTGGTTGTCATTGGAGATCCTTCATCCATTGACTGATGGAGGCAGTTTCAGAGACCCATGACCAAACCTTGTGATAGGGGAATCCTGCTGAGGAGAAGGGGGAGGAAGTATAGGAAAAGTGGGGTCAGGAGCATCTCAGGAAAACAGAAACCAATAGTCTGGCTCCTGGGAACTCATGGAATCTGAACCAACAATCAGGGAGCCTGCGTGGGACTGACCTGGGACCGCTGCATATACATGACAGGTGTGTAGCTTGTTCTGTGTGTGGGACTCTCAGCATTAGGAACAGGGGCTGTCCCTGGTGCTTTGTCTGGCTCTTGGGAACCTATTCCTCATGCTGGGTTGCCTTGCCCAGCATCTATACAGGGGGAAGTGCTTGGTCTTATGGCAGCTTGATATGCCCTGCTTTGCTGATGCCCAGGGGAGGCCTGTCCCTTTCTGAGAGTTATGGAGGAGGGGTGGATGAGGGGGTGACGGGGAGGAGTGGGAGGAGAGAAGGCAGGGGATGTAAAATAAATTAATAAAAATAATAATAAAAGGGAGAAAAATAAATTTCAGCAAATGATGAAAGGTATAAATAAAGATTGATCTGTAGGGGTGCCATTCCCACCCTGTTCTCCATGAACTCCCAGCAATCTGTTCCTAAGTTTTGAGGTGAAGGAATGCCATCTGACCACTGGACTGGCTTGTAGGTGTCTGCAGAATCTCAAGTGGGCAGCCAAGGGCATGGCACGGGCCTGTAATACCAGGCTGAGAAAGGAGCAAGCTCTAGGCCGGCCTGGACTACATAGGAAAGCCCTGTCTCAAACAAAGAAAACAGTGGGAATTTGAACATGTGTCTAGGTGCACTGAGGTTGCTGGGGAGCAAGGTGGGGGTGTCTCCTGGCTGGGATGCACCGTCACCTATACTACCCCCAACGCCCCGCTTCCTGCTCCGCACCCTGCAAACCCAGTGAGGGGGACCCTTCCAAGAGACACGTACACTCGACGTTTTCCTTGTCGAGTCAGTCCACTCTGATTTCAGGAGTGGAGCGGGACTCACCCTTGGGCATTCTAGGGTGTTACCTCTGGCATTTGCTCTCACTGCAGAAAAACAAGTTCAAATGCAGCGCACCGGGTTTCTGAACAGCTGCCTGTGCACAGACACCAGACGGTCAGCAAAGCTGTCCTGAGAGTGGGGGCAGGCTCTGAGGAAGGTGGCACGGGAGGGTGGGGTGCGGGAATGGGGGTCAGAGCCCGGAAGTCTCCAGGGTCTACTAGCCAGGTGGGAGACTCCTTGCGCACCAGGTCTCCTGGGCTCTCCAGGCTGCTGGTGAAGGCGGAGGTCCCGGGCGGGGCAGGCTGGGTTGGGAGCAGAGCAGCTGCGCCCGCCGCTTGGAAGCCGGCGCCCTCCCAGCAGAGCATGCAGGACGTGCGCGACGTGTGGCAGCCTCTGCGCAGACTTTTCCACTGCAGTGTGGGGTTCCGCGAGCGCCTCCAATCACAGCCCAGCTTCATCGCGACGTGTACGGCTCGCCGCTAGACTGGGCAGGGCAGTGCTTCAGTGCGGAGGCTTCACTCGCTAAAGACACATTTAAAGTGCCATGCTTCCCCGCCAAAGGACCCCCAGATTGTCGCTGAATCAATGGCTTCTAGCAGTTTACTGAATGCCTGTCGTGTATCGCCAGTCTATGTAAAGTGCGAATATCGGGAAAGGAAGCGGGGGCATGTTCACATCAAACTAAAAGTGGCAGGGTGTACCGGAGGAAGTGACATGCGTTTAGGATCTGGCTACCTATCGACTATAAGCCTCGGGGCTTATAGTCCGGTAGTGAAGGTGGGAATGGGCTCTACGTTTTATTCATTTGCAGAGAGAAAGGTCTGTGGGATATGGTTCGTGTTGAAAGGGAAAATAAATATACCAACTCCTCCCCTCTACCCCAAAGTTCCGTTTCTATTGAACCTCCTTTACTTTTTTTGCTCTCTCCAAGTGCCTAGCAATGCGGGACTGGGTGAGGGGTGACGACACTGCCCAAGCTTAGGTTTCTAGGGCATTCAGAAAGAAAAAAAAAAGTGCCCGTGCCCGAAGGACGGTGGCAGTGACAGCCGTGGCAGAGGACATAGTGGGTGATGACGCACAGGTATTAACAGAAGGCAGATCTGACCTGGGTTTTCTCTTGGACTGTGTCGACCCCAAAGCTTGGAACTGTGTTGCTTGCTATTGGGGCCCCACTGCTTGAAAGGCCGAATTGGGAAGATACCTTTTAATACAGCATCTGGAGATGCTCTTAGGGGATAGGTTTAGCGACGTAAAAGAGGACTAGAGAGCCAGACTGGGTTGCAGGAGCCGAGCGTGCTGCTCTCGCCTGCCCGCAGAGGGCGGCAGCAGGCTATTTCTTGGCCTTGCCCACCCTTCTCTCCACGTGAAAGGGGGCTGGGACGCAAAGAATGCGGCCCGCCCCGAGGCTGACGCGCCGCGTTACCGGTCAGATCTTAAAAGGCCGGGCAGTGCGTGTGGCATCCCGATAGAGCCGGAGAGGAGCAAGTGGCAGTGCTGGGTGGCGGGAGCGCGGCTGTCACTGTGCTGGAGCATCCCTGAGCTTCTGAACAGAGCCGACCAGTCAGCCAGCATTGCGCGCCGCCGCCAGCCCGCGCCGATCTCATCCGTCTCGTGTCTCCGCTCAGGCGATCCTCCAAGACTTCGCACAAAGCACATTTTTCAAAGCAGCTCAAGGGAGCGCCCAGCCGCGTACAGGCGGACGCACCCTTCCTGTCCTTTGTTCCGGGGGGATCTGCAACTGCTCTTCTCCCCAAGTCGGAGTCTCTTCTCCTGGGGTGGCGGCGGGTCGCCGAGTGCAGCTACGAAAATGCCTTTGGAACTGACTCAGAGCCGGGTGCAGAAGATCTGGGTGCCTGTCGATCACCGACCCTCGTTGCCCAGAAGTGAGTGCAGCTGCGCGGGGGGCTAGGTTGCAGACAGCGCCGCGTGCAGAACCCGGCCATTGTGTGTGCAGCGGCTTTGTGCCGGTTCTCCTCTGCGGGAAGCGCACTCGTGCCGGTCGGCCGGGCAAGGCGGGGGTGGCGGCGGGCTGCGTCTCCCGGGCTGGGCTGCAGGGGCGCTGTGGTTCCGGAAACCTCCAGTGTGCCTGGCCTGACCTGAGATCATGGAGCCAGCGCCTCCCAGAGGCTGAGAAGACCTGGTGCCCCGATTGTACTTGGTGCTCGGCCGCGGTCGCCACCGCCCCTTTTCTTGGGCTCTCCGCAGGTTCATTCTCCCTCCCTCCCTTGTATCTCTGTACCTCCGTCTATTCCCGTGTCCACCCTCACTCCGGCGATTGCAGGCTCTTGGTTTCAGGGATGGTCTATGGGTTTGCTGACTACATGCTGGTGGCGTTTCACAGGTGCGCTCATTTACCCGGAGCACGGAATTTGCTGGCCGATTGCCTTCGTGACCCACCTGTTGCTGCCGGTAAACGATTTGGGAAGGTTTCGTTCAATTCCATCCCTAGCTTGGGAAAGGTACCTCAGGAAAGACGGATGGAATTGCTCTAAAGGCGATGTGTTCCTTCTAGGCAGCACGCCTAGGAGCCCATGGAGGTAGACAGAAGTGGCTGCCTTGTGGGCATGAGGCTCAGACCACGTTTGTAGCTTGAATTGTAACCATGGAATCCAGTGACAAAGCCGGGAGGTGGTTTCCTGTCACCTTGGGGACACTTGAGCGCCGGACTTCAGGGTAGGCTTCTCCACTGCCACGTTTCACAGGATAGATGGTCATCACAGGACATGACAGCTCTTTTGGAGCATTGAATGCCTGAGTCACCAACTTCCCTGCCGACCTGAGCCCAGCTTCCCTGTGGTGCAGTATGAGACACCTCCAGCATGTCTTCTCTGCTGGACCTGAGGGCCTTGGTGGAACCCTGGAACCCGTTCCTAAGACAGGGCTCCTTTTCTCTTTTGACAAGGAAGTCAGGGGCAAGGGCTTGGCAGGTCTTCTTTCCTAAACCCTGTCAGACATGTTTATGCACTGGGGCTGCCTTTATAAAAATGCTCCAGGGAAGGGCCAAACCTGGTGGCACACCTATAATCGCATCGCGCTGTAACCGGTTAACTGAGGAGGCTGAGGTTAAGAGAACCATGAACTGAACTGAAGAGTGAGGCTCTACCCAATAAATAAATAAGTAAACAACAATAAACCAGGAAAAGTTGGTCAAGACCAAATTTAAACCCTTGGACCCTCCCCCCTCCGCCCCCCCCCCCCCCCCCCGTGCCCGAGACAGGGTTTCTCAGTAGCTTTGGATCCTGTCCTGGAACTCACTCTGTAGACCAGGCTGACCTCGAACTCAGAGATCTGCCTGCCTCTGATTGCCGAATGCTGGGATTAAAGGTGTTTGCCACCACCATCCGGCCCTTCTAGACTTTTTAATTAGAAAAATTGTAACGCATTTTTGGACAGAAATTGGTCACCCAAAACAATGACTGGCTTCATATGTATATATAAAGCCGGGAGTTGCATGTGTGTGTTCTTCCCTTGTTTGGGTCTTCAGGAACCGTGGCAACTTTTGCAAGGACCCTAAGATCAGTGGGGCTGACAGTAGTAATATTGAGGGACATCACAGTGCATCTCTGTGCCCCTCCTCCAGGCTTCAGAATCTGATCATTAGATTCCGTGAGCTTGCACGTCTGTCACGGAGTTGAGAGCTTTGCAAAGGGTTGCTGTCAGAGTCATTTAGAGCTTGAGGTGTGGGGCTAAAGCTGACGGATTAAGGTGACCAGTTCACCAGCTTCTGGAATTCTTCTGTGTGACACTGTGTGACACATCCCTTCACATGTGAATATCTGCAGCCAGGGTATTTACTACATATTCATATTTTAAGTTCTATCTTTCCTATACTTAATTTGTTTCTGACTGCACTAAAGAAAAGAAATGGCTTTTGTGCTAACACTGGGAATCTTGTGGACTTTTTTTTTCTTTTTTGGAGACAAGGTCTCTCTGCGCCCTAGCTGGCCTAGAACTATGTAGAGGGGGCTGGCCTCAACTCAGATGGGATTAAAGGTACATGCCGCCACACCCAGCCTATTTTGTGGGTTTTCATTCACCTAAACCTTTTTTTAAAAAAATTTTTCAGACATGATCTGACTTGAATTCACTATGGTGTGGAGATGACCTTGAACTTCTGATCCTCCTGCCTTCCCAGATGCTGAGATTATAAATGTGCACTACCATGCCTGGATTCCTTGGTGCTGGGGAATTGAACCCAGGGCTTTGTGAATGCGCCCCAGCTCCGCCCTGTTACCATCTTTACATCAGAGATTGGCAGCCAACTCCTGAGGCTTATTGCTAGATGGCATGGAGAAAGCTGTCCATTCAATGCTAAAAGAATAATCATAAAGAACAGACAAATTCCAAAGGCCAGGCATAGTGCTGCACGCTTTCAATCCTAGCACTCAAGAATGCGGGGCAGGCAAGTAGATCTCTGAGTTCAAGCTAGCCTGGTCTCCATAGCTTGTCTTGTAATTTAAAACAAAACAAAACAACTGAGTATATTTGCCTGTGAAGCACAGTAATTCAGTGCCAAGTTTCTTTACCAACATTGTGATAAATGCTTCTTGCAAAACTGGAAGCTTCCATCAGTTTCAACCACAATCCAGAGAGACTTGACTGTATTTGCAAATTAGCTTAAGTGATCTTAGGTTCTACTAGCAAGAGCTGCTTTTCCTGTTACCTTCACTGAACATCTGCAGCCTGCTATATAGGTGGGTGCCGCTACCTGCTTGGAACCCTAGTTTCCTCAGTTTCAAGATTATGTTTTTGTGTTTTAAGTGTATCTGGGCTGTTAGCTATCCCAGCCTCGGGCAGTGTGATAGATGGCTTGGGTTATAGTAAATGTAGGTACAAAGATCCCATCGCTAATGCAGCAAAGGGACGTTAAAACTGGTTACACAGAGTTACCTTGAACAGCAGCTACAAAGACACATCTCCTTTAAAAATACTCTGACGAGGAGGGTGACATATACCGCGGGGACGATCAGAAGAGGACAGCTCTGTGGAGTTTATTCTCTCCTATCCTTAAGTGGGTTCTAGAGATCGAACTTTAAGTCCTTGGACTTGAGAGGCAAGCAAAGCCATCTTGCCAGTCCTCAACTTTTTGGTTTTTTCTAAATACACGGGAGTAAGATACCAGTTTATCTTTGGCTAGGATTTAGAATAGACTGCATGTGAAGGAAGATGGGTATGGTATTCAACATCTTATAGAATTCTATCTATTGATGCCCAGCCAGGCATATGTATAATAGCCATTTCAGGTGAGTTATGTGGTAGTTCGTTGTCACAATCAGGGAGTTTGTGAGCAAATAAGCCTAATGACATTGTAGAGTGCTGGCTCAGCCCTTGGGACAGGGTGACTTTTTGTGAGTCTTACTTAAGGAATTATGGCCTTAAAATATGGGAAATACTTTTAGTATGAATCTTCCCAAACTGCCACAGGGCCTAGCTCTCTTTAGACAATGACTTTTTCTCTCATATATCGGTTATTGTTCTCATTGCTGTGACAGAAGGGACTTCTGGAAGTAAGTATTTATTTTGACTAATTTGAGGGTCTAGTCCATTGTTGCTGGAAAGCAGTGGAATGTGAGGCAGTTAATCTCTGCATCGACAGGCTGGAAGCAGAGAGATTTGAAAGTTGGTGTTCAGCTCCCTTCCTCTTTATTCAGGCCTACCCACACCCATGGAATGGTGCCATCCACAGTTAGAGTGGGTCTTCCTACCTTGGTTAACCCAGTCTGGAGGCATTCTCATAGCTACCCCAGGGGTGTGTTTCCATGGTGATTCTAAATCTAGTCCAGTTGACAAATGGCGATCAACCATCACACTTTAACAGAACATCTGTGAATTCCTTTATCCGGATTTAAGTTAATACCTAGCTAGATTTGTTGCTAAAAAAAAAAAAAATCTGGTATGAAACATTGAACATTAACTGGGTGGTGGTGGTGGTGACTCATCTCTAATCCCAGCACTTGGGAGGCAGAGGTGGGCAGATCTCCGAGAGTTCAGGGCCAGCCTGATCTACAGAGGGATTTCCAAGAGAGCCAGAACTAGACAGAGAAACCCTATCTTAAAAAACACAAAACAAAGCAAAATAAAACAAAGCATTGAATATTTATATAAAAGGAAAGGAGACATTATGTTTGTCTTAGGAAATCTTATGTTGAACTCAATAAATTGAGTTTGTTGAGAAGAAATATCAACATTAAGGACTGGATCCAGGGAGTGTTGTGAGATGGAGGATGAGGGGTCATGGCTGGTGTTTTCTTTTCTTTCTTTCTTTTTCTTTTTGTTTGTTTTTCGAGACAGTGTTTCTCTGTGTAGCATTGGAGCCTGTACTAGAACTCACAAAGATCTGCCTGTCTCTGTCTCCCGAGTGCTGGGATTAAAGGTTTACCCTGCCGCTGCTGCCACCACCACCTGACTTTGGTCTCTCTTTCTGTCTTGTAAAGATTTATTTATTATGTATACAGTGTTCTGTCTGCATGTATGCCTGCAGGCCAGAAGAGTGCGCCAGATCTCATTATAGATGGTTGTGAGCCACCATGTGGGTGCTTGGAATTGAACTCAGGAACTCTAGAAGAGCAAGCAGCCAGTGCTCTTAACTGCTGAGCCATCTCTTCAGCCCTGGTGTCTCTTTCCCAATAGTAAAAATGTTTATGCAGGATGTTGTATGTTCAGAGAGACTCTTGAACTGGGTTATAAGCTGAAAAAGGGCTGTGAGGGGGATACTAGATTCATCTGGAACTATTTGTGCATCTTTCCATGCACAGATGTCTGGGTGACGAAGCTATACTTGGTCTTGCAGCTCCTCTGAGTGCCTCAGCTTTGGGCAGTGGGAAGAATGGCTTTTGCTTTGTCAACTAAAAGTGATCTAGGTTTATTTGCTCTTGAAACCCAGCAGCACTCTGCTGAGTCTACAGTATTGCCTTTTCTCTTCCAAAGTGTCTATTGTTGGAGGTTTGTTCCTGCGATTAGTAGATAGACTTAATCCCTCATCTGATAACTCAGCTGGCTTCCGCCTCTGCATCTCTGACACAGTTCCAACAGAAACTGCCCATGTCCACATGCATGTCTGGGTGCCTGTTTCCAGACATCTCTGGGTGCTTTCAGTAGCAATGGTTCAGTGGGGTCATCAGGGCAGAAGAAGGGACCATGGGCTGGAGGGAGAGGAGCATCTGTCTTCTAGGTAACTGTTCTTTCCAGGGCCTCTGGGATGCATTCATGGGGAATGTCTCTAAGGCCTGTCTTTGGCTTCTGAATTTCTTGTCTAGCTAGCCTCACACTCCTCACCCAGGTCCTCATGATCAAAGAGACCACTCACCCCTGCTTGCCCTGTTGCTTCTACTCAGACCCTAGTCAGTCCGCAGCTCTAGAAGCAAAAGATCCACCTTGGTGTCCCCCTTTGCTTATACTTCCCATGAGCCTCTGTCTAAATCTGATATCTGTCTAGATTGGTGGCATGACTCTCATCTCTTTTTTCCTGCAGGCTGTGCAGCCTGTGTCTGGGACGGGAGAAGGCCAGCTGGGTTAGAGTTGGCAGACAGCCTCTTTGGCTTGTAAGCTTACTTGTCGCCAGGATGCAGGAGTCGCCCAAGAGTCTCAGTGGCAAAGAGACAGCCAAGGAAATACTGGAACTTTAGTTTGTCTAGCGGGATTCTTTTGGCTGCTTTTTGAAAACCTCCGTCCCTATGTTTTGTCTTATTCAGATTCTGAGGATATATGGGGCACTCATTCATCACAGGCAAGAGTCTCTCTGGAGAGCCTGCCTGGGACTTAGTGACTAGCTTACTTAGAACCCTCTGACTGGCTATTACCTTGGCAGACTCAGGCGTCCCTCTGAACCTGGCATCTACCAGATCCTGGCAGCAGGATGGAGGGGGGTGGTCAGGGAGGATGTGAGAGGCACAGGCATGGTGCCCAGCCAGGGTCCTAGCATTCTGTGTCCCTGACCTACTTTTACTTGATAAATTCTTACTGTTTAATTCTTTTTTTTTTTTCTTCAAGAAAGTCTCTGTGGAGTTTTTCTCTTGGTTTCTGGGGCTCCCCTCTGTCTGTGTCCCACCTGTTTGTTCAATTTACGTACTGAATTAGGAAACCATCTTTCCCTAATTCTACCCTCCCTGGCATTAGGGTCCCATCCTTGTATCCCTCAAGAAATGCTCTTATATTATTCTGTTAGGAACTGGAATCACTGTCTGGGGCTCAGTACCTCCATATCTGATTGTGCCTTATGTTTGGAACTGCCATTGCCAAATATTGCCTGAGAAGTGAAACTAAACTACAAGGTCAAGGGGTGTGGTCACTAGGTGGGGGTGGGGTGAACTGTGTAGTCCCATTGGGTCATCAGATGGCAAAGACTTTGAGATGTGGAATGACTTCATAACTTTAGAGTTATCCTTTTTTGTTTCTTTAAGATAGGTTCACATTGTTGCCCAGACTGGTCTGGGAACTAACTCTATGTAGCCCAAGCTGACTTTGAACTCAACTATGTTCAGGATCACTCTGAACACTCAATCCTCTTGCCTCTGTCTCCCAAGGACTGGAATTAATGATGTGTGCCACCATACCCAACTTTGATCACATTCTTCAGAAGTCTGTCTTTGGGCAGAGGACTCTGGCATTAACATTTGCCCTTTGATTGATGACTCTTTACTTGGTCTTTCCAGCCTGTGGGCCGAAGCTGACCAACTCGCCAACGGTGATTGTGATGGTGGGCCTCCCAGCCCGGGGTAAGACTTATATCTCCAAGAAGCTGACTCGCTACCTCAACTGGATAGGTGTTCCCACGAAAGGTAAGCCAGGACTTGAGGCCAACAGCTGGTCCTCTCAGGGTGGCCGCTTGCAGGCATAGCTGTCCTGGGTCATGGAGTCTGATCCTGTTTCCCAGTCCTGTTAGCTCAGTTCACCTTCGCCTTCTTTAAGCTCCCTGACTGTGGTGACCTCATATTTTGTGGATCTTTTTTCTTTGAAAGTCCCATCACATGTCACTGCAGCCTTCTTTGGGTGGCTGTCCTCCCCAGCTTCACGTTGAATGCTGTTGATAACATTTGTATACACCCCTGCCCTGTCTTCCCAATTAAATGGGAAGTGTTCTGATGAGAGGGATGCTAATCCCTCGCTGTGCTGAGATTTTTTTTTTCTTTAAATACTGATGCTTGACTCTAGGTCTACATGTGTTAAGCAGTAACTATTAAATGTGATCTCATCATCAGCAGTGTGTCAGCAGGAACATGGCTAATTTAGACATGGCGGGGGTAATTTAGAGTTAGTAGCTCAGCAAGTAGGCAAGGCTGGCTGTTCAGTGAGACCCACTAATGTTTGGGTATCATAGGTAAAAATCATCCTTATTCGTCTTAACATTTATTTCATTATTTTATATGTATGGGTGCTTTGATTGTACACACACACACACACACACACAGTACATGTGTGCCTCATGTTCCGGACAGCCAGAAGGAGTCAGATCCCTTGGCTCTGCAGTTATAGATGGCTGTGAACCTCCATGTGGATGCTGGGAATTGAACCCTCATCCTTTATTGAGCAGCATGTGCTCTTAACTGCTGAGCTAACTCTCCAACCTGTCTTATCTGTGTATCTGTCTGTCTGTCTTTCTGTCTGCCTGTCTATGATTTTTGAGGCAGTGTTCATAGCTCAGTGGTCTCCATTGAGCTATGCTATATGAGAAGCTCTGAACTTCTGATCTCCCTGTCTCTGTGCTGGGATTACAGTCATGTATCACCATGTCCAATGCTTTTGGTTGGTGCTGGCATCCAGCCCTTAGTTTCATTTGTGCTAGACGGGACTCTAACAACTGAGTAACGTCCTTACTCCTACAGTGTAGCTTTCCGCGCCACTCTCCATTCCCCCAAATTCTGACTGTTCTCGGAGTCTGTTTCTGGTTGACAATACTGGGAGGTGGGGCCGGGATCTGGTCCCTAGCAGACAGCTTCTGGTACAGCAAGAGTCATGGACCTTGTTTCCCAGACCATGACCTGGGATGACAAGTCTAGACTGGGACGTCCACACTGTCTCCATACGAGATTACTTATCCAGCAAGGTATTGACTGAGAAGCCATTTGTCCCTGATGGCTCATGTAGGACTGTCCTTGTCTTTCCTGTCCAGTGTTCAATGTGGGAGAGTATCGACGTGAGGCCGTGAAGCAGTTCAGCTCTTACAATTTCTTCCGCCCTGACAACGAGGAAGCCATGAGAGTCCGAAAGTAAGCCTGAGCTGCCATGGGTTTTCCGTGTACAGTGTGTGAATGTGTGTGTGTGTGTGTGTGTGTGTGTGTGTACGCTTGTGTGGAGGCCTGAGAAGCTTGCGTGTTCTTTGGGCACTGTCCACTTTATAATAAAATAATACATGTAGGTGAGTGTGAGTGGGTATGTGTGTCCATGTATGTGGAAGCTTGAGGATGTCAGATAAATTCCTTTATTACTTCTCTGTCTTCTGAGACAGGGTCTCTTTAAACAATTGTTTTATGTGTATGGGTGTTTGCCAGTGTAGCATGAGGGGCCGGCTTGTTGGGGTTTCTGTCCCGCCCGGTACCCCACAGCCGACAAACCCCAAAGAAAATCACTCACAAGACTCCATAAGATTATAAACTGATTGGCCCATTAGGTCAGACTACTTATTAGTTCTTATAACTTATGTTACTCCATTATCCTTATCCACGTTAGCCACATGGCTCAGTACCTTTCTCAGCTGGGCAGCTTACATCTTTCCTCTCCAGTGGTCTGCACAGGAATGGCGGAGGGAGCTTCCTGTTTTCCCAGAATACTCCCAGTCTCTTTGCTCCACCCTTACTTCCTGTCTGGCTTTCCCGCCTATACTACCTGCCTGGCCAATCAGCGTTTTATTAAAATATGATTGACAGAATACAGATAATTCTCCCACACCATGCCAGCATGTATGTTGTTAGTGCCTGGTGCCTGGGGAGGCCAGAAAAGGACATCAGATGCCCTGGTGCTGGAGTTACAGGAGGTTGCAGTCTTCCAGGTGGGTGCTGAGAATCAGACCCAGGTCCCGGAAGAGCAGCAAGTGCTCCTAACTGCTCAGTCATCTCTCTAGCCTTTAGACAGGGGCTGTTAATGAACCTGGAACTAGCCTGGCTGGCCAGTGAGCTCTGGGGACCAGTTCTAGGGTTACAGACAGTGACGTGATGTGTGGCGTTTTGATGAGTGCTGGTAAGGACTCCTGTCCTTGGGCACGTGTGGCCGGCAGATTTGCAAAAACTGAAACAGCTCTGCAGAGCTCTTTGTCGAGGTCGGGTCTGTCACTGTAGAACTTAACAAGTAGTCTAGACTGGCTTGCTGCTGGTGAACCCTAGGGTTCTCCCCCTCCCTGGCCCTGGGGTTACAAGAGCACACCCCCCAATCCAGCATCCGCTGCTTCCTTCTCTCCCTCCTCCTCCTCCATGTAGGTTCTGAGAATCCAACTCAGGTTGTACTGTGATCTGAGCTGTCTTCCCACCCAGTGGCTTCCTTTGTTGTGACGCCAGGTTCTGGAGGAGGAAGAAAAGGCCAGTCTGCACGCTGGCTCTGTGCTGGTGGCCCTCAGACCGAGCTAGTGTACTGTAGGACAAGTCTCTTGGCCTCTCTGTGACTGTCTGCTTTGAACTGCTCCCAGGAGTAGGAACGGAGCCCCCCTGAGCTGGTTCAGCAGCAGCTAAGCACCAGGAGTGAACAAAGCCCCGTTCTTTGGGAACCATCAGTTTGCATTTGCAAAGGATTTCTTAAGCTGCAGGTGACAGGGTGGTGCTTTTCAGTTCTGCAGGTGCTGGAATCACTGGTGCCAGTCACTGGTGCCAGGCCCAGCCCTAGGCATGCCTAGTGAGGCTCTCTGTGTGTGCTCTGGCATCCGTTTTTATTTTATTAATACTGTTATTAGTTTTGTTTTGTTTTAAGTTAGGGTCTTGTTATATAATCCTGGATGGCGTGGCAGTACCTTTTATAGCTCGGATTGGCCTTACATGTGGATCTGTCTTCCTGCCTTAGCCTCTGGAGTACAGCTATTATAAGAGTATTTGGCACCCTGTCTGTCTAGCACTGGTTTTTATTTTTATTACTAATTTTTGAGATAGGTCCTTATGTGGCCGAGGCTGACCTTGAGCTTCCTATGTAGCTGTGGATGAACTTCTGGTCCTCTGGCTTCCACTCCCCAGTACGAGGATTGTGGACCGTGTCACCAAACCCGATTTTATACAGTGCTAAGGACTGAACCCGTGGCTTTATGCATGGTCAGCAAGCACTCTACCAAGTGAGCTAGATCTCTTGCCCTTGGTACCAGTTCTTTAAAAGCTCCTTAGGTTTAATTTTTAAGCTGAGCATGGTGCACTGTTCCTATAATCCCAGCATTCTGGAGGTTAAGGCAGGAAGTCAGCAAGTTCTAGGCCAGCCTCAGCTACCGAGTAGGTTCAAAGTCAGACTGGATAAGTTAGTGAGATCCTATCTCAAACTAAAATGAAAAGGGAGCTGGAGTTGTTCGTCTTAGAACACTTGCTTAGCGTGCTCAAAGGCGTTGATTTCAGTTCCCAGAACCACAAAAGAAAGACAAAGAGCAAAAGGTTAAACCATTAAAAAAAGAAGGCCATGCATGCTAACTGGTGCCCGGAATCTCCACACTGGAGGGGCTAAGGTGAGAGGATTGCTGGGAGTTTGAGGCCAGCTTGGCTACAGAGTTGAATACCAGCCTGGGCAGCGTAGCTAGAGCCGGTCTGGTCTGGGAAAAAAAAAAAAAACCCAATTCACAAAACTAAACCAAATATAAACGTTTCTCAGGGAAACTGACCCCATCATGTAGCCAGGCATGGCGACTGCCTCCCTCAACTGTGTGGAGGTGAGTGTCTGTGCTGGTCCCCAGGTCCAGGGCCCTGGACCTGAACAGGCCTGGTTAGCACTGAGCAGCTTGGAACGGGAACATCAGTGTGTGTCAACAAGGGAAGCGACTGTGTGGCTGGGCCTGCTCTGACCAGTGCTTTCCCGCCTGTGTGTTTGCAGACAGTGTGCCTTAGCTGCCCTGAGAGACGTCAAAAGTTACCTGACGAAGGAAGGAGGCCAGATTGCAGTAAGTCTGGGGGGGCGCAGGCACCTCTGCCTCCCTGGGCCTGAGCAGGATGGAGAGCTACTGTAGAGTGGCTTTAAGGGTTGAGGGCACAAGTGACCTGAAGCGGCTACTGACTCAGGAGTCTGTCTTGTGAGGGATGTTGGGATGTAGCTTTGTCACTCACCTGTGCAGTGGGCATCTGGGCACCACCTCTATGGTGTTGCCACAGCAGTCAGGGGCCATTGCTTGGTCCCTCATTGTATGTAACTGCTTGCTAGTTCCCCCTTTTCCCTGCTGTGCTGGAGAGCTGAGGGAAGAGATTGAGGAGGGAGCATTATAGAGGGTTAGGGGCTTGGACACCCTGTCCAGAGGGAGGGATTTAGGGCTTATTTCTGGACACAACAGATTGAATTCCTTGTGGTTTAGGTAAGTATCATTTTCAGTTTTTCTGAGCCGCCTTCTTCTCTATCAGGTTTTTGATGCTACCAACACTACTAGAGAGAGGAGACACATGATCCTTCATTTTGCCAAAGAAAATGACTTCAAGGTGAGCCAAACTTGCCTCCCCCAGCAAATGCCGAGTGGAAAACAGCTTAGGAGCCGCTGATTGCCTGACTCTGGCTTCAGCCTCTTTCTGTCTCGAGCTGTTGTTGAGGCAGGGTCTCACTCTGTAGTCCAGGTTTGTTGAAAGGCACTCTGTAGCCCAGGCTGCCTTCAGACTCACAGCAGTCCTTCTGCCTCTGTCTCCTAGGTATTAGGAGTGCAGGTGTGAGCTTCACTCACAGTTCGTTGTCTACATTTTACTGCCTTAAAACAAGGTCTTCCTTGTGGCAGGAGGCCTAGGGACAGTGAAGCCCTCCCTCCCTGGCAGAGGGTGAAGGCCGTGGCCATGCAAAGTTGATGTTTTATGGAGTAATCCTTTCCCAGTTCTTCTCTTCCTCCTTATGAATATTTTGGTTAACAAACAGGGTCAAGGGCTTCTGGTGCTAAAGCACAAAATCATGAGTTTTGCTGAGACATTTTCATACATGGGGATCATTATACTTTGTTCCTATTTGCCCTCCCTTCTTCTCTTGCTCCCCCCCTTTTACTGATTTACTGGTCCTCCTCTGCTCCCCAAAATAGTCCCTTGGATTCTGCTTTCAGGGTACATGTATTCCATGCCTGTTGTTCCTCACCCCTCTCTTTAGTCTTCTTCCTCTGTCATGATACCTGTCATCCCCCCACCCCATACACATTTAAATCTAGGTTTTGCATATAGCTGGCACCATGAGTCTGTCTGAGTCTGGCTTACTTTGCATCTCCCCAGTCCCGTCCTTTTCCTGTTGGTTTCCTTTCTTGTGTCACAGTGACATCAAAGTTGGCCTTTCGTGGGTTGTTTTTACATGTCTGCCTTGCTTCCTTCCTCCAGGTATTTTTCATTGAGTCCATATGTGACGACCCTACTGTTGTGGCCTCCAACATCATGGTAAGATATTTAGGAAGCCCTGTTTGTATATTGCCATTATACTGAGAGGCCATTTGTGGTCCTGGTCAGGGACTGGATAGTAACTAAACCCGGAGAAGCAGACACCTTGCTCCATGTGTGGTTGGGTGTCTTCAGGTGGATACTGGGATGGCAGAAGTACATGGGGATAGTAACTTAGCACAGCACAGGCTGTGACCTGGACATGCTCTTAAGGGTCATCCATTTCTAAGGACTCTGAGGACATACAGCAGGTATATGTCTTGGTTGGGACATGGTAGATAAAGGAGATAGACAGGAAATAGTTTCGCCTGGTGGCAGAAACCAGGTGATGGTGGGGTAGCCAGGGATGATGGGCAACTCATCCCATCGTACAGCGGAGGCCATCCAGATGTTCACTTTTGCTTTCCAGGTCGCTGGTAGGGAATGATGCTTTTATGTAGGCCAAAGCCTCCAAGGCTCAGTATGACAAAGACAAAGTTCCTGATTTTGGGAAGAAACGGTGTAGTGATGCACCACTTCCTCTCAACTCTATTGTGCCAAAGATAGCTTGTCCAAATAAGTCAAGGTCAATGGTACCATTATTTGATTAAGCCTTAGTATTACTTGATAACAATAGATCACAAAGAGAAATGAGTATGATAAAGATGTTTTCACAGGTTAGTTTTGTGTGTGCATGTATGTGGACGTGCATGTGTGTTTGTGTATGCCTTGGTGGGGTGGGCACACGTGTTACAGTAAGAATGTAGCAATCTGAGTTCCTTCATGAACTCACAACTTCTTAGGTTTTTAGATCATTTTCTTTTCACCTTTGTTGTTGCTGTGTGTCTGAGGCAAGATTCCTACACTGAGCCCAGGCTGTCCTGGACACTGTGTATCCCAGGCTGATCTTGGAATTCGAGGCTCCTGCACTGATTCTCCAGTGCTGGGATTATGGGTGTGAGCTTCACTTCTGGTTTCCAGGTTAATCATAGTGGAATAGGACATGTTTAATAAAGAAAACCAGTTTTTCATAGGTAGGGGAGGCAGGTGGTGAGACTGCGTATATATTTGCTTATTTATTTATTATTTGGGGATGAGATCTCACTGTGGAACCCAGGCTGGCCTTGAATGCAGGGCAGCCTGCTTCCTCTTTCCTGAGTGCTGGAATTACAGGTGTGTACCACTGCCCAAGGTACAGGTGTACCTTGCCCAAAATATACCTTACCTTTAAAGGGATGCTAAGTATCTATAGCTTCTTTCCTTGGTCTTTTTCTTCAAGATGGTAGGAGTGTCTGCAAGCATTTCTAAGAAACAAGCTCAGACTTCAGGAGGAGCAGGTCTAGAGGCTCGGAGCTCGAGGAAGGGCTGTGCTCACAGAGAGAGGGCTTCACTGTTTTTCTGTGGGTTTGTTTTCCCTGTTTTACTTGATAGTGAAGCATGGTGCAGCTGTGAAATCATTTTCCCCATGGTGTCGTCATTCCCGTACTTAGTTAGGAGCTGTCTTAGTAGTAACTTTCTATTCATTCACATAGTTAGCTGTTGGCCCTGATCCTCTGTGATCAGAAAATCTTTCTCTGATTAAACCTAAAAGGTTTGCAGATTAGGTCCAAGGGTTTGCGACCTATATTTATGCGTTTATTGTATAATTCACTTAGTATACAACTGACCTTTATAGCTATTTTTAACATGCCATTCGGCAGCATCAAATACATTCAGATTTTAGGCAACTGTGTTTGTGATGTGGGCGCTGTTGGTAGGGTGCTTGTCAACCACCTACGAAGCCATAGGGTCAGTCCCCTGCACTACATAATTTGGGTATGGGAGTAAATACTTGGAATCTCAGTGTTCAGGAGGTGGAGGCAGGAGGATCAGAAGTTCAAGATCATCCTTGACTGCATAGCGGGTTTTAAGGGGAAACCCAGAGTACATAGGAGCCCGTCTCAAAGCAAGCAAACAAAATAAAACCAGAAGCAAAAACGTTGGGAATCTCCAGGCCTTTCCATCTTCCTATCTGCCTTATAGTTCTGGAATCATAAGATTAAAAGCAATTCTGAGGGCAGGCATCATGGTGCCTGCTTAAATAATTCCAGCGCTTATGGACAGAGAGAGGTGGGGGTTTTAGGAAGGTTTGAAGCCATCCGGCTTTACATACCAAGTTCCGTCCCAGTTAGGGCTAGATAGTAAAACCCTGCCTCAAAAGACCAAAATCCATCGGAGTTTCCTTCCCATCTACCTGGGTTTCTCAGCATAATTGTCCAATTATACGAGACTCCTTGTCCAAGAAGGGCAGCTCCAAAAGGTAGAGGCTCCAGGGCTAGTTCGATGTCATCACAGAGACCAGCCCAGGTAGATACTGCTTCTGTTGGGACGGTTGGAGAAACCCTGCCCAAGAGCAACACTTAATGTGCCTTTTCCAACCAAAGGCCTGCCCTTGGTGTGCCTCTGTGGGGTCCTGCTGAATTGAGGGCCAGGCTGACTCAGCTATTGGACTGACCTGCCTCAGTGTATGGTCCAAATGGGTCCCTTATGGGGTCTCTGTGGGTATCCCGTGTCTGTTTTTCATGGGCATCCTCCTTATGTAACCATAAGGCCATGAGTCAAACCTCCTGACCCACACTCTTTTTTCCCCTCTTAGACGCTGGGTAGGATAATCTTTATTCTGAGAATTTCTGGGCTTTTCCCATTTGACAGTTCACAGCCGTCTTAACTAAGCAGAGAGTCTTCCAGTATGATTCATCAGCCGCTCTTTGTGATGTTACAGGAAGTTAAAATCTCCAGCCCGGATTACAAAGACTGCAACTCGGCAGAAGCCATGGAAGACTTCATGAAGAGAATCAATTGCTATGAAGCCAGTTACCAGCCTCTTGACCCTGATAAATGTGACAGGTGATTCCCAGAGGTTGCCACCCTCAATTATCCACAGAGGGGCTTGAAATGTCTTCTTGAGGTTTCCATAAAACAGCTCCCAAGTGTGTCTGTAAATTCTGAAAATGGCTTTTGAAGGGTCCCTGAGCGCCCCCCCCCCCACCTTTTGGTGATGGAGCTATTGGCTGCTGAGGGGCAGGGTCCCTTTCCCTTGGGACATGACTGCTGCTAGGTTGCCCATGACCCAGTTAATGGTGCATACAGGGCTGCACTCATAATAAAACACATGAGATGGGGGCATTTAGATGGGAGATAGTGGTGGATGGGCAGGTTCAGAATAAGGGTTAGCTCAGCAGTTACGAGCACGTACTGCTTCTCCCCATGGCTGGAGTTCAGTTCCCAGCAGCCACATCAGGCAGCTCACAACCAATGGTAATTCCAGCTGCAGGGGGTCAGATGCCTCTGGCCTCCAGGGTTCCTGCACGTATGCGCACATACCCACACAGATGCGTGTGTATATACATATATACATACATACATACATACATATAATTAAAAATAATGAAAAAAGAAGTCTTTAAAAGTATAAATGTATAGACCAGGTGGTGGTGGCACACACCTTTTATCCTAGCACTTGGAGGCAGAGGCAGGCAGATCTCTGTGAGTTCGAGGCCCAGCCTGGTCTACGGAATGAGTTTCAGGACAACCAAGGCTACACAGGGAAACCCTGTCTCGACCCCCTTCCCTGACCCCCCACAATAGAATTAATGTATGAAAGTTGTCTTCTTCAACTGTTCTATCTTAAAAAGATATTTACTAGGTGTTTGTTTATTTGTTTTGATTGGGTCTCACTATAGCCCAGACTAGACTGGAACTAGTTATGTAGATTCCCAGGTCTGCCTGCCTCTGTCCAGTGCTGGTATTGAAGCTGTGCCACCATGGCCAGCTAGGTTTGCTTTTCTTTTCTCCAAACATCTATACATTTATTTATTTTTTTATTTGCTCGCGTTTGTGCTGTGTGCCTGTGTGTGTGCATGCATACATATGTACCGCAGCACACACATGAAGGTCAGGGGACAACCTTTGAGAGGCCTTTTCCTCTCCTTCTACCTTGTGAGTCCAGGGGATCAAACCCAGGCCGTCAGACTTGGTGGCAAAGCGACTTCACCCGGAACCACGTCACTAGTCTCTCTGCCTTACTTTTTGAACAGTCTCTCACTGAACCTGGAGCTCACTGGTTTGGCTAGGCTGACTGGCCAAAGAAAGTGAGTTTCAGGCAACAACCTGTCTCCGCCTCCCCAGCTCTGGGAGAACAGACCCAGAGCTTTTTAAGAAGGTGCATCTGAACTTGATATACAAGACTTAAACGCTTGTACACCACTGAGGGAGCTGTCTGTCTTGAACATCTCGACCGTGGGAACTGTTGCCTTCGATTCCTCTCTGACTCCTAGAGAAGACAACAGTCCCCGCTCTAGGCCCCCAGGAAGCAAATATTCTAGAAGCTGCCTAGGCCTAGGGTGAGGAGTGCTGTCCTGTGGGCCATCATAGCCTCAGTGTGGTCCTCAGTGATGTTTCTTTGCAGGGACCTGTCGCTCATCAAAGTGATTGACGTCGGCCGGAGGTTCTTGGTGAACAGAGTGCAGGACCACATCCAGAGCCGGATTGTGTACTACCTAATGAACATCCACGTGCAGCCCCGCACCATCTACCTGTGCCGGCACGGGGAGAATGAACACAACCTGCAGGGCAAGATCGGGGGCGACTCGGGCCTGTCCAGCAGAGGCAAGAAGGTAGGGGAGAGAGAAACACATACCGGCTGCCGACTGAGTGGGGTCGGGAGGGCGGTTGGATGATTGGCTCCCGCCAGGAGAGTAGAAGTTCCTTGGGAGGGCAGGGTGTTGTGGTTCTTTTATTTATTTATTTATTTATTTGCTGTTTTTTGCCGTACTATATTGGGTGCCTTTGCGTGTGTCTGTATGTGTACGTGTGAGTGTGGACGAGGAAGGGGAAATGAGAGTCAGGCCTCTTGGACTCTGATAAGGTTTAAGTGGCACTGGGGGTTTGGGTGGCCTTGGGGGCTCCCGGGTGACCACGTAACGTAACCTGGAACGTAACGTAACCACGTAACGTAACGGAGGGACCTGGAGTTGGGGTGACCCCTGTCTCCGCATTTCCTCAGTTCGCAAATGCCCTGAGCAAGTTCGTGGAGGAGCAGAATCTGAAGGACCTCCGCGTGTGGACAAGCCAGCTGAAAAGCACCATCCAGACCGCGGAGGCCCTGCGGCTTCCCTATGAGCAGTGGAAGGCGCTCAACGAGATTGATGCTGTGAGTCCCAAGCCTGCGTGGCTCTGGGGAGGCCTGGCAAAGAGTGGAAAGTTCTCTCCAGGGCCCTATGGAATGCTGGTGACTTCCCAAGACCCCCTTATCTGAGGTGGTGCTGTAGGTAAGTTCCCTGGCGTGAATATTGGTCTCTCTGACAGGGTGTGTGTGAAGAACTGACCTACGAGGAGATCAGAGACACCTATCCTGAGGAGTACGCACTGCGTGAACAGGATAAATACTACTACCGATATCCCACAGGCGAGGTGAGCAAGAAAAGGCCCACATGCGTGTCTGTTGGCCTTTCTTTATAATGGTAACGAGCTGTTGCATGTGTTGTGTATGGAGGTGGCTGAGAGAAGGCCTTGGGGGCCCCAGCAGGACCAGGCGAGTCCCCACAAGGCCTTTACAACCCACCCCATCTCTTACCAGTTCTGTGAGCTCATTTCTACTACGGCTTTGGTCTTAAAGCTCACTAAAGGGAACCCCATAAAAAGCCCCAAGGGAAGCGTGTTGTATTTCCCACACGGGACAATGAGAAGTCTGGGTATCTGTCTCTGATGATGTGTGTGATGATGCAGGAAAGAGCAAAGAGGATGGAGGGTGATTCACTCCAGACCAAGCTTTTCCCTGGATGGCCAGAGACATGATAGACAGGCTGGCTGTGAGGATGCTGTGTTTGATGGCTTGTGCCAGGTCCAGGCCGATGTTGGTGGAAGTGTGCTGAGCCATGTGGTACTCTGGGCGTTGAGCCAGGTGGCTGTGTTGACACCTAGTGGGTGCCCTTCTGAGCCTTTGTCATAGTTCCCATTCCTGGTGGGCCACCATGCTGTTTTCTGATCTCTCTCTGGTCTTCACTCACTGTAACTCTGGTTAGCAGAAGGAAAGGCACAGAAGAGTCAGTGTAAGGAAGAACTTCTGCTAGTTTTTTCTGTCCCAGCTTTGCACTCACTCATGGTGTAGCTCAGACTGACCTTGCTTGCAGCCCTCCCCTCCCCAGTGCTGGCATTCCAGATGTGCACCACCGTTCCTGGCTCCATTCCTGTTGTTTGAAGCAGGATCTTTAATGTGTGGTCCAGGCTGCCTTGGGCTGCTACCAGTCCTCTTGCTTCAGCCTTCTGGGTGCTGAGGATTATAGATGCACACCAGCCAAATTCTGAAAGGAAACTGCAGATGTGTTAGCGGTCAGTCTAGTGTCTTTTAGCTCCTAGCTCTGCTCACCACAAATTCCTCGTCTCTAGAGTTGCCTGTTCTAGGTGGTGAACAAGAGGAGCCGTTCGGTGCATGTAGATGGTGATGCTTAGTGCCTTCCACTTGACATACAAATTTCCAAGGTTCTCTCACGTGGTGGCATGTGCCAGGACTTCATTGTTTGTCATGGCTGCCTGAGTAACAGTCCATGATAGCCTGACAAAGCCTGATCTTTCTCCAGTGCTCGGGAGGAAGCAGCTCAGACAGACAGAATTGCAGGCTTCTCTCATGATTCTTAGAAGTGGTAGTTCCTTACATGCAGGCTGAACACTTAGAAGGGTGGATGTGTGCCTGTGTGAGGGATGGGCTGCGAGCGATTACAGGATTCTCCCCTGCCTATCCTCCCCTAATGTACTCTCCCATCCCTTCATTCTCAGTCCTACCAGGACCTGGTCCAGCGCCTGGAGCCTGTGATCATGGAATTAGAGCGCCAAGAGAATGTGTTGGTCATCTGTCACCAGGCTGTCCTACGCTGCCTGCTAGCCTACTTCCTCGACAAGAGTGCAGGTATTGAGGGCAAGCCATGCCCAGGAATGAAGGAAGAAGGAAATGGGCCTTGAGTGCTTGTGGCAGGGGACCCATCCTCTCTGCTTTGTATCTAAATATGGATCTGCCCCACAACCTGCTGAGGGGTCTCTACCTGCTTCCTACGGAACAGTGTGATGCTCAGTGGGCTTCATCACTTCATAAACCAGCCTGAGAACCCTCAAGCCTCCATGTGACCCAGGGCTAGGTGTGAGGCTCTCACAGTGAGCCTAGGGATGCCCCTGAATGTCTCCCTTCATGTCAAGTCTCTTATTTAACATGACAACGTATGTCTCATTTCAGAGGAGATGCCATACCTGAAATGCCCCCTTCATACTGTCCTGAAGCTGACACCTGTGGCATATGGTGAGTAGCAGCCCCTACTGAGCATTGACCCTGAGGCCTTCTGGTGGCTGTGGGGCTGCCGATGAGGATGATCTCTTTAACAGAAGCTATCTTCTCCGTCTTTCACCTTCAGGGTGTCGTGTGGAGTCCATCTACTTGAATGTGGAATCTGTGAGCACACACCGGGAGAGGTCGGAGGTGAGTTAGGCTCCGATGCGTGGGACCCTTGGGAAACTCTGGGTCTAGTTTTCCTCTGGAGGGTTCTCACTGAGTTCCTTTGGTGCCCACTGGCCAGCTACCATGTCTACACCTCTGATCCTAGCCTGTCTTTCTTGTGACTTCATGGGATCGGTTCCTTTTCTTTCTGTCCACACTTTCTCTCTGCTTCCGTTTCTGCTTGACTGTGAAGAGTGAGTTAAAAAAGGAGTTAGTTCCTTCTCTCAAACATTACCCAGCACCGTAGTTGTGGCCACCTTCTCAACAGTCCCAGGAGGCTGGCACAAACAGGATTAGCCCCATCTGTGTGCACTTCGTTCACAGTTAGGCAGGGCTAAAGGATAGGAGTCCTAAGGGCTGCTGAGCAGTGATCTGCAGGAGACTCAATGCCTGACTGTTACTGTGTTCCACATCAGGGAGGTCTGAGATTTTTTTGGGGGGGGGGCGGGGGGGGGGTGTGTGATCATGTTGAATCCCTTACTGGGCAGATTGCGTATCTGTCCAGGTCTGCGTTGTGAAAGTGGGTTTAAATTTGCTTTATGCAGGCTGTCAAAATACAACACTTTGCCAGTGTAGTCAGACCTTCCTCTTACACCGAACTTGACTTTCTGTCTGTGGAGTCCGAAAAACAGGTGACTTCCCCATTCCCAAGAAGCTTGGCCGTCAGATGTTGGTAGGAAGGGTCCGTGGGTGTCAGCCAGTTCGCTGCCCAGCTTGCATTGTGGACATCACTGGAAGAGGACTGTGTCCCTGGGCTGCCTCGCCCTGTCTCCTGGCCCCACCCCTATCAACCAAGGCACCTGGAAGATGTGCTCATTTAGCTGAATGAGGACAGCCCCAACACTGGGCTTAGACATGAGATGGGGTCCAAGGGCCTCAGAATACCTCCTTACTCGGTGCTGGGGCTGAAGCTGTCCTGGGTTTTGAGGTGGTGGGCCATGCACTGCACCCCAGGAGCCCACTTTCCTGTCTTGCCATCCTTCGTTGGAAGGTTGACATCTCATCCTGGCTGACAGACTCTGTCTGTTTCCTGCACCTTCAGTCTCCTGCCTTGCCTCCTAGACGGAGGCTGGGTACTGTTTAGGGGAGCACAGTGTATTTCATGGGTGCGTGTGTGTGCTGCAGACCCAGGTGGAAGGCAGTTAGCCCCGATCCTTCCCCCTCCCACACCTGTGATCTCAGAGCCAACCGTCTCTCCTGGGCCCTCTGTGGGCGGGGTGGCTGGGAGTAAGGTTCTTTATTTTGACCCCCTTCTCTGCTGTGGTTGTAATTATTTTTTCCTCCTCTGCTTTGCACATAGCGAGAAGTTCTGTGCCAGCAACAGTTCAGGGTCAAGGCCACTCTCCTGGGTGTTCCCTACAAATCGCAAGAAGAGAGAGAGAGAGAGAGAGAGAGAGAGAGAGAGAGAGAGAGAGAGA